AATTGGACACAGATTAAAAAGACTTTTCTTTCTCATTTGTGTAGTTGCAATGATTCCACCTGAGGTATGGAGTTAATTTTAATTTATTTTTATTAAGTCAAATTAAATGGGTAAATTAATACGAAGCATGCTACTTGTTGCCTTAAATCTTAAAAAGTTGCCTTTGTCGTAGCTGCACGCGCTGACACATAAAGCCAGACGCTCTAACTAACGTGGGCCTCGTCAAAGGAGATGTGTCACCGGTGCTGCATAATCCTGTTGCAGGTACAACACAACGCTCTGTTGTGCAGGTTTTAATAAGGATCAGTGTGAAAAGAGAAGCTGCACAAACCTCCAAAATGTCAGACACTGCAGTATCATCACTCACAGCAAATGGCCTTCTTTCTCCAGCATCTTCTTTTGTCTTTTTTGTTGTGGTTCTCCTGGGCCCGTCGCACAGCGGTGATGCTGCAAACTGATTATTTAAAGCAGCTTGCCAGCTTTCAGGTCAACTAGGAGAGCGCTGAAGCGCGGCGATTTTCTCCCACTGTGTGTGAATGAGGTGTAAGTGTTTGTTCTGTGCACTGTGTAGTTATCCAATCTGCTACGTTGTGTTCAAACAAACGTCTCACTCAAAGAAAGGCCCTAATATAGACAGAAAACAGACTGACACCAGAAGTGCCTTCAATTCCCCAGCACCACTGTTCCCATACCCACGCATGCCCTCAATTAGCCTATGTGCAGCACATGTGCAACGCCATTAATAAGAGCCAGTGATAATGGTGGAGAGCACCATTGGCCGCGAGTGAGATTTGACTAATTACTGTAATTGTATTGGAGTCATGCTCATTAAATATGAAAATTGTGTTCTGTAAAATGAATGGGGTTTCACCATCACTCTTGCACGGACAGGCCAGAAATAAATTAGGGAACACTTTCACATTGTGCAATTAACGACCGCTACTGCACACACACGCGGCTCCCCGCCACACCTACCGCTGTGAAAATATGATGCTTTTGTGTGTGTGTGTGTGGAGGCAATTTATGCGTGTTTGACGCCGTTCCATTACTTGTTGCTGGCCTGTTTGACCAGGAAATATGGAAATGGTCATATTTTTAGAACAGCTTTTGACTGCTGCTGCTTTGATTTGAGATTTTTAACCAATTTTTTCATTCATTTTACAACAACATTTAATATATATAAATATTGACAGATTATGTAGTTTACATTAACATGGTGGCCAGTTGTTTTAATAGATGTAGAGTCATTTCATTAACTCTTTGCAGAAATGTGTGGACTAATGGGGAAATAATCTCAGATTTCTGCTTCACTGGTTATTTTAGCTGAAAAAAAGTGTAACAAGGGTTAAAGAAGGACACAGTTCAAAAATTAGGTACAGGCACAAAACAAGACTAAAATGTAACAAAGTTAGCATTCTGGGCTCCCTCCAAATTAGCTGCATCTTCCTAAGGCTCAGTTTCGGTAAACCTGACAGTTTAGAAGTTTATATTATTCTGAAAAGACATGGAGAGTTGGGGAAATATCTCTGTGTGAAGACCTGGGGTAAAACATTCTGCTGAATGTGCGTGATCTTCCAGCCATATTTCATTATCATCCATCGACAGCTGGATTAACTAAAGTACTAAAGTAATGTTGGTAATGTTTTTGTGCAGCTCACGTCTGTACTGCAGAAGCCACAGACAGAAAATCCACTTGCAAAACTTCAACAATTAGCCTCCTCAGTTCGGGGTTTCTAATTTAGTCGTTGTTGAACATCTGAACAGATCTGCAGATTTCTGTTTACGTTGGATTCTCCCAGTGAACCAACTTTTCTGTAAATGAGGTTTATTCATGTACATTCTTTCAAATGCTAATTTTCAAATTATTTTGGAATGTAGAAAGACGGAAACTTTTTCCCCCCTTGTTTTTCTCTCTTTTGCAGGCAGATTTTATGTTCACACTACAAAGACGACAAAACACAAATAAAATCTGTTCTTATCATACATTCATGAGATGTCTGCCCGTAAACAATTAATGCTAGCAGTCCAAAAACAACACAACAGCCTCTTACCTCTGCACACAACAGGATGTGCCAATGACTCTTTACTGTAACTTTTGTTCCTTGTTCTTTTTATCGTCTCTGGGGACCGGAGCAGCTGTCAGGACTCCAGAGCGTAGACGACAGCGTCTGGGAGTGGCTACGTCCCCGGGGAGCAGAGCATCTTCTTTTTTTTCCTCCCCTCTCTGGTGTTTCTGCATGCTCAAGTTGTTTGAGAAATCTTGCAATGCAAATGTGGTACTTACCTTTACCGCCCAGTAACAAAACTGTGTCACAGTGAGAGCTTTCTGTGAAAGCCCTGATTTTGTCTGTGCAGATAGAGAGGTGAGGAGAGGCAGGTAAACAAAGCATAATGTGGAGGTCAAATGCTAATGAGTGCTTCATTTGTTACCAGTGGCTCCCTCCAAAGGCAGAGCAGCGACATCAGCAGCGCCCAGACGCTATAAATCAACCCGAATAAACAATAAAAGACTTCATATCATTCAGTCTGCCTCCTTCAACACACTCACAGCCCAGACCCAAATCTCTCTCACGTGGCCTTATTTGAATTGTCCCATTTTAGGGGCTGCCGCTGCTGCCGGGTGAAAGCAGGATGTGTGTCCATTTTCAGGCCTAACACCCCGCCATAAAATTTCCATCTGCTCACTGGCTAATAGGGTGAGACCAGAGAGAGCCCCGCCATGAACTGTAACGTAGCATGCTTTTTGGTTAAGATGCACGGCGTAATGCTGTGAACAGACGCGAACAGATGCAAAGCCATGCGGGGTTTGCAGCTGTTGCCCAGGCCCTTCTATTTAGAAAAAAAAAAAAAAAAAAACTCCGCCACAGCTGTCCCCTCTCTCTCTCCCTCTGAGTCCCTGAGTAAAAGACGACGGGAGGATGACGCTACTGGAGAGGTGGTGAATAATCCACATGGACGGGTGGATGTTGAGCATCACTGGTAATGTTTAGGGATCACATCAAAGAACTTTTTTTTCTTCCTGCAATTTCTTTGTAACACTACTTCCTATAGATGGCGCTCAATTCATTTTGAAAGCAGCCGTGTTTCTCAGCAGGGCTGTCTAACACAGAGTGCCACAGACAGAGCAGTGGTGGGGATGAGCCGCTGCACGGAAAGGCACCCTTACCTGTCCTTGAGCCACAGAGAGGGGGGGGGGAGAGGGAGAGAGAGACAGAGAGAGAGAGAGAGAGAGAGAGAGAGAGAAAAGAGTAGATTCAGCATGTGTGTGCACTGTAGCCAGGAGCCATAAATCACGACCTTCTTCAATTTACACAGGGAGCATATTGATGGTTTCCTATCTCCTTCACTCACTTTCACCTGGTTACATTGTCTAAGACAACAGCGCTCAGGTTAACCATGAGTGACACTTTACAGCCTGTTCTCAGAGGACTCTCACCTCGGCCGCTGAATAATCCTCACGGCAGGTGAAGGAGGGAAAGGAAAAAGGGAAGGAAAGGATGAAGCCGGCCGGTGACAGCACAAGGTTGCGCTAACAGTGCGATCATAGATTCTCTCAAACAGGTAGGCAACAAGGTTGGCTGATGAACAGCGTGACACCATCAATGCCTCCGTCCTGAACGTGGACACTTCTGACACCGGCTGGCGATTTAAGGAGAACAAAAGGTGGTTTATAAGATGTTTATAAGTCACCCGAGGACACCGGGCGTCCCTCACTACTTCGTACAAGACGAGAGGCAAAAGACCGGCAGTTATCAGACGGGCCTAGTCCTGGCACTTGGATGAGTTCTATTTGGCTCCTTAAGAATTTCAACATATATTTGAAAAACATTTTAAATAATGATCAGGGAGATGAAACGTCGTCTTCGAGGGTCAACAACTGTCATCTACGTCTCAGGGAAACAGTTATGCTTAAGGGACTTTTTTACAGCAGGGACTTAATTTATCTTTTGTTTATATATATATATATATATATATTAGCTTCTATAAATATTTTAACCCAATTGGCCATTTTTTATTTTCTTATTTTTTTGTACAGGTAACTGTTTGACACTGATCTAATTTGAGCTGATCTTAGCATTTTACTTCTAAAAATTAATTGTCATCTATTTTGTCATCTATTTGTTTGTATTTATATTAATGCACAGCTGCCTCTGGCAATTTCTCACTATTCACGCTTTGAATACATTTCTTTGCTCATTGTTGGACTCATGGCCTAAAGTTTATTTATTATTAAATGTCAGCTTTTGTGAGCTGACATTATTGACATAAATACAAAATCTGACCTAAAATAATTTAAAAAGCTGAGTTGTTTTTTGAACTTTCCATATTGGAGCACATTGACTCATTACTAATGACAAAAGAACTTTTTTATTTTAACTCCCAACGCCCAAATGAAATGCATTTTTAAATGATTTAATCATTGCATCAAGTAAGACAGAAGGAGCTGTTTGAAAAACAAAAAATCAAAAAAACCATTGGATGTCCCTGGACTTTAGAATCTTCAGGTTCAACTCTACCCTTCATGACTTCACAGTTTTATTTCTAACACCGTCAGTTGGTGTCACCAACACCAACAGTACCAAGCACTCAAATATTGGCAATCCTGAGATGGACAGTCCACAAGTTAATACCCAGATGTTATTTGCAGCAATAATGTGGAGTGGACGGACGCAACCGTGCCAAGAGAATGAATGAATAAATAAAAAATGAAAAAAGTGACAAGCCCATTTATTTGTTTAATTCAATCTTCTGTTGAGAGATCTTTTCGATGGACATCATAGTTGATTTTGTTGCGGGGAAGCCTTCGTGGCAGGCTGATTAAACTCTGACTNNNTAAATGAAATGACTTCCACAGGATTGCACCACAAAAGGAAGGAGTGTGTCAGATGTGCATTCAGCCAGTGTTGTAGCCAACACAAGGTCAAACGGGACATTGTGTACGCAGCTAACCAACTGACAGTCGGGACAGTCCAGGATGCCGTTACACCCCAAGGCACTGTCTTGCTAAATGAACTAGTGCACACACAGACAGGTGCACACACACACAGACACACACACACACGGGTGATCATACAGGAGCCGTCTGTCTGTAAAATTTCCATTATTTGTCAAAGACATGAGCGGACGATAACAGATAAAATAATAGGTCGTGTAAATCAAGGTGGAGTGTGTATTTTAGAAAACATGAGCCACTGAGTGACATAAAAACAACTCCAGTGTGCTGCCCCCTGTCTGTCTTTTCTTTTCTTTTTTTGTGCAAGTAAATAGGACATTCTGGTAGAAGTGTGCACCAATGCACATTACCAGTCGGGGGCAGTAATGATACACAAAAGCTGCAGAGCTTCAATTAATACTGATTAATGAAGAATGCAGGAGGGAGAGAACATGAAATCTTCAACCTCTGCTGAAGAAAAATATTATGGAATGGGGAAAAAAATTGTGTTTTTCAGCATCATGTGTACGGTTTTAAATTCTGTTTTAATATTAAAGAACAAAAGACAAGTTTAAACAGGTCTAACACTGTGGTTATTTCTTCATTTATTACTGTTCTGTACTACAGGGGTTTGTTATAGAGAATATTTCCATAAAGTATATGTTTTAAATAGTTATGCTAAAGTATAAACTTATTTATTACTAAATTCTTCAAACATTATCCGAGCATAGCACCAATTCTACGAGATCAACTGCTCCCTCTTGTGGCCAGGACATGAAGAGTCATGGTAAGTTAGTGTTACGTGTGTTGGGCAGCGACTTCCTGTCAAACCACTGTCCTACTGTTGTATGACTGAACCAATAAAATGATCTAAAACCAAATCTTTCTCAAATGTCTGTCAATTATTCATCCTTACCACCCAATCTCCCGCAGGACGCCCGTGGAAATTCCGGCCAATCAGAGGAGTTCTCACCTCCACACTTCACCAGTTCTTCAAAGAACATCCAGGACCAACAACCAGCGGTCAATTTAGATTGAACTATTGAGTCGAAAACACCAATCTGAATGTTTTTGGCCTAAAGAAGAGAACACGGAAACTCCACATAGCGTAGAAAGATCGGGAATCGAACCAGTGACCAATAAAAACTTGACTTGATTCAGTCAAACTCCTCCTTCAGCTCCTTTCTCCTCCTGTGTGTTGAATAAATCTGATGCAGTGATTCCCATAAATCATGTGATCTTTTTTATTGTCACTGTACATTCAGTGCACTGTTAGTTCTGACTCACTTCAAAAAAAAGCATCTATTTACACGTGGGTGGTACAGTAGGCATGAACACAACAAACAAAACACAAACAGGTCAATGGCACACAACACTGTCCAGTGAAACCAGCTGTGGTCGGCTGTTTTTTCTTTTCTTTTCACCCCCCAGCCGCCCCCCCACCCCTTCTCTTCTCAGTACATTTTTCACATTTTTCCCTCTTGCATCCTCTGAGCGTGTGCACACGTGTTACCCTGTTATTTTCTGAGCGGAGGCCGAGTTCATAATTAAAATGAACCAAAGCGTCCATTTAACTTGATTCACATATCACAATTGCAAAACATAATAATGCTTTGGTAGGGAGTGAAACCTCCTGGGTAATCACACGTCTGTGTCCCACACACACACACACACACACACACACACACATCTCACAGGGTCCGTTATCCACGGTGGACCGTGGTGGCCAGGGAGGTTCCTCCATGTTTTATGTAAATCTGCTCATCGCAGAGTGCGCGCTGATAAGATAAGTCCACAAAAGGAAGAGCGAACAAGCAGCTCTCTCTCCTCCGAGGAATGTGTTCCCCAATTGCAGGAGGTTCATCTACATTTTTTTAATACCCAGTCAGTGATGTCACTTTATTTCTGTGCCACTGATTCCCAGGAGAAACCCATGGCCCGCTTCCAAACCCAGCGTAATTTTCAAAATATGAATTGAGGTATAGGGTCTAGATGACTTCACTTAGCTCCATATGTCCTGCTGTGCCAACGCTAGTCTGCGTGTGTGTGTGTGTGTGAGAGAGAGAGAGAGAGAGAGCACTGAGGGACAGAAAGACACAGAAAACAAGTGTTAGAAAAGGAAAATATCCCACCGTAGACAAATATATCAGACTCAGTCCCACATGAGTAATCATCAACCTTTGACACGATACAGTGGTGTGAATATTTTACAGCTCTTCAGGCGGGCTCAAAATAGCTACATCATGAAAAATGTTTCGTTTTCGTGGCATGTGAAACAAATGCTGGTTGCTACATCCACGCACAGCAGCACGGCTACAGTAAAGGGAAACATGCACAATACACTTAAGCCCCTGTACAGCTCTATACGTCATGGTCGTGTAAAAACTGGTGTCCGACTGCAGCGCCACAACCAAAACAACGAACTGTAGTTGGCGACATTTGCCTTGCATAGCCCAGTGATCGCTCCGTTAGGAAAGGGTTTTTTTTTTTTTTCCAGACCTCAGTGAAACTGCCTTTCGTACAGAGGTTCAAACGGACCCTCCCCACCGACGGAAATGAAACGTCTCTCGTCCCCAAGGTAAAACCAAAGCAGAAATTTAATTGCTCTTTTTCTATTGAGAATTTCAGCTTAGGAGACAATTAGAATTAATTGGATGTCGTCACACCGTTTTAGAACTCTACATACACAGTGTTAGGCATTTCCCCTTTTATTTTCCTGTAATAATTGGGTTGATGGTTTAACCCCCTCCCCACCCTCACTACCATCATATTAGAGCCTTAACTAGTGTAGTATAAAGAAGGAAATATATTACTATTACTTCATGTGTCATAAGGAGTATACTCTGTTCATCAGCTGGGAGTTTTCTCTTGCTGAATTTTCAGTTATTTCTTCATTTTAATTTAAAAAATAAAACTTGCACAATTATTAGTTGGCTAGCCATATCGTCAACACGGGAGGTTATTGCTAGTCCACTGCTAGTTTAGTTAGGTTATTGCTAGTCCACTGCTAGTTTAGCCTGTACCAGCAATCTCCACTCATTTGGCAGGACGACACACTCTATAATAGCATCATCTGCAGGTGAGGACAGGAGCTACATGATCTGTAGAAAATACCAAAATAGACACTGCACATTATGTGTTGAAATTGCAAAACAAAGCCGTACGTGTGTGAATGCAAATCAGTCAGGGGATAATGTACACTTTTTACTGTGACATGATGAAAACAAACAGTGGTCGACAGTGATGGTATTAGAACACTGAGGTGGGCTGGGCAGAATGACTCTACGTCAACTCAGCTGACGACCCTGGGCTTTGGCTTGGTTTCCACAAGTGTCAGATTTAAACCTAGAAATGGACAAACTAGTGGTATGTTTGAGAAAGTGCATCATGGGAATCCTATTCTCCACTGTGTTGGGTTATAATTATCTATGCATTACATTACAGTGAATCAATAACGTCGTCCCTGTGGGGATTGTCCGTAGGTTAGCGGTCGCTCAGCCTTCTCTCGGCTTCTCATTTGGGCAGGAGCTAATGGCACTTGACACTTTAAAGATGCGACGGCTTTAAAGTGTTCATAAAGGACAATATCTGTCTCACTAAAATCCTAAGAGAAGTTGATGAATCGAAGGCTGTATGATCCTCACAACGCTTTACACGCAACTGGCCAAGGTTGAGAGGACAGGACAGAGAAATATGTCGTGTCACGTCAGACTAATAATTTGGCATCTGGTTGTTGATGGGCGGACGCACTCAAAGTCTAAAAAGGTTAAAGTGTGCACCTACATTTTCATACACTAGTGTTTGTTTGTAAAATTACAGTAAAATTATGAAACCCCTCCTTAAGAGATCTCTATTTTGGTTGATAATATTCAAGTAGGGCTAAGTAGCTGCTAACAATTTAAGGTAGACTGTGAAAGTGCTTCCTTAAATGAAAGTGTAAAACCATCCAGTGTATGGTGGTGTTTTCTGCAGCCCCCACCATGTGTCTTTGTCAATGGTTAGAAAAAAAAAGGCAGCAATGCAATACAAAGAATGCAGAGCTGGAAAGTGAAGTGAGGAGCTGCAGTGCGGCCTGGATCACCGCTCAGGGATCGGCTTCGCTTTTGCAAGTCGTAAATCTGGAAATGAAACTTTTATTTTTATGTTGCAGGATGCAGGTTATTTGAGGCGAGAATGTTGTACATTTTTTCTGGTTTTGTTTCTCGTGTTAAAATAGGGCACAATTATTTTTTCTACAGACCTGAATACTCACCATAAGATCACAGGGAGCTAAAACCCTGGTTAGGGTTTTTTTTTAATTGTACTAATGTTAATCATTGCATGGATCAGGAAACTCCAACTGTGAGCATACTTGACCCCAGAACCAATAATCAATGACCAGACAACGGTGCAGCCTGAGCCATGAGTGGGATCCAGGTTTGATATAAACGCATGGGAATGTGAATTCTTCCTGTTCGTCTGTGGAGAATCAGAGGTCCAGTTTCAATGAGACTATAACACAATATTATTGCTTTCTGTGTTGTGGAGAACACGGAGCCAGTTCAAACCCACAGGTACAAACAGAGGCTGACATCTTCAGCAGTGGAACTAATGTGATCGATACAGTGACACTTGACTGAGCGCACAACTTAAATGAAAGTGGTTTAAAAAAAAAAAAGCAAAGCCGCTACAGTATATAGCATACAGGACCATGAAACCCTTTAGAGGCTGTGACTAAAGTATCCCTCCTATTAGATCGCATGAAGTCGCAGCGCTGTTGCTCCTCTTAGAAACCTTAGCTGTATTTACAAAAAAAACCAACAACCAAAAAACCCCCTACAACTTTTAGGACATTTCTCACAGTCCAGTTAGCACGGATCATAGCTTAGCATTGTGTATGGTTTCACAGTATGTTTAGTTGCCTTTCACTGTGGCTGTGTGACGTGTAACACAGAAGGAGACGGAGCTCACGCGTACGTACGTATTTGACCCATTATTGCCACATCTTTTGTCGATGCTTAGTGCAAACTCTCGTGAAGTACGACGGGCAGCCAACCACTGTCCTCCGGTGAGCACCACGTTAACAGACACCATCAGGTTGATGAAGAAGATACTATGAGGTAAATATATCAGGAGGAAATGGAGAATCCCACAGAGCCGCGACGGGCGGCCGTTTGCTGATGACGCATGTCTCACAATTCTCCTCCCCGCCCAGTGCAAGTTCACACAATTTACAGTACACATATTATATGCAGACCAGTTAGAGACTATTGCTTTAAACAACTCAGATGGAAAAATGAAAGAAACAAATAAAATAAGGATCATAGTAACGTGGCTGCGGAGCCAAGCGGTTCTTGGGGACATATATTATATTAACACACTTCCGTTCTGAGATGAAAATAAAATAGGAACCAAAGTCACAGAAGATTCAGGTGATATACAGCAGTGGGTCTGTGGTTATAACCAGACCTCAGCTGCCGGATTTTTCTGTACACAACTTCTCTATTTACATCATCGTGATCCCACATCAATCAGGCTGATATTTCCTCTTCTTTTTTTTCTCTTGTTTAACTTAATTTAAAAGTGTTTAAATAACATCCGTCCAAAGCTTCATCCGTCCACTGTCTCTTGGCACTCTGCCTTCACTTTTACGGCCCGTCCCTCGCCTCACGCTGGCCGATGCCGCTGTTCGTCACGCACCTGCAGCGGCTGTTAGGCCTTGGCTTCCAGCATCTCGAGGAATAGTTTGTGCATGGGGACTTTGCCCTGCATCTTGATGCTGTAGAAGTGCTGCACTGCCTTGGTGGCAGTCTGACGGAGCAGGGGCAGCGTCATGAGGAGCTTGCCTGCCCGCCGAGGGTCCTCCGGGTGCTGGGAGCCCTCAAAGTCCTGTAGGGCCTCGTGGAGTGAATCCTGGAGCCTTTGGACGGCCTCAATGTTCTCTATATGCATGGAGTCTGGGGCAGGGAGGATGATGGGAAATGATGGAGGGAATGGAAGGAAGAATACACTTCATTAATCACATGACAGTGGGTCTCCAAATAAACCTGCTGAAGGGAAAGGTCCTGGGGTCAACCAGACCCAAACTCAACAACTTATGGTTCCATGGTGCAGTGGTCATGCCTGCCTTACACGCAGAGGGTCCTGGGTTTGAGACCCAAGAGAACCACCTTCCCCTAAAGGCTGCTGTGAACGTTCCTATTCTGGGACGAATTAGAGACTCAATTTTACTTTTATTTAATTTTGGAAAAAAAAGTATTTTATGCATGTAATTGGGATAATTCCGAATGATAACAATTACCAGCAGGGGGCAGTGATTCAACTCCAAGAACATTAACTGATGACAATGAGATATTTGGGAGGCAAGCCGGGGGAGGTGGTGGGAGGGCACTTTCACACATGTGACAGACAGCTCTGTCAGAAGGGGGCGTTCCTTACAGTATTTCCTGGTCTGTGTAGCACAGTATTATAGTTTAATGAATCAATACTACACTACTTACACTTTCTTTTGTGTTTTTTAATTCTAACATGTAGTTCCTGTGCAGTACGAGTCGTCAACTAGGTGATGGGCGTGGCTAGCTGACACATCAGCGACCACGCGGTTTTGTGTTGTAGCAACAGCTAGCATTAAATTCCTCCTCTTGTCTTCGCAAACATGCAATTCTGGAGAGAGGTTTTCTCCTGTTGGTGGTTAATGACACTCCTTAAATAAATGCCTAAGCGCAGGCAGGACTCTGGGGAAACGGAGGAGAGGGAGGTGCACCGGAGGCCTGTATAAATATACAGTGGCACCGGGAAAAAGATTCATTTCTTTTGGTATCATGGAGCACATACATCCCCCCTGCTAATGAATTCAGATGGCTGCATTACTAGGATATCGTTCAGCTGAATGATGGCAGCAGATGGCCTTCATTTCCATAAGAAAGAGCAGTTGGGCCCCTTATGTATAGTCTCTAAAATAAAACCAGTTGAGACTTATTAAAAACTGCTCTCTACGTTCAAGTCTACAAGTCGGGAAAAAAAAAAACCCTGACATGTCCTCCGAAAGGACACGCTAACAGAGTGTTTTAATGGACAAGCGGTGGTTTGCTCTGAGGCAATTCCACTCAGCAGTCCAGCAGTGTCAGAGCCAATCTGTGCGTGGATCTCATCCACGTTTCATCAAGTGATTGCACAGAACGAAATGATGTAAATGCGCTGCAGTTCCACAGTCCGATCCGGACGATTCATTTACGTTTTTATTTATCCGCCTTTTTACAACCTAAACACGTGGTTATTACCGAGGCCAACGCGGCCGAGTGATTGAAGTGTGTGAGTGAATTAGATCAGCAGCATCGCGCGCCATGAAAGTTGGTGAGCGGCGTAGAGCCACGCATGAACATGTAAATGAGGCAGAAAAAAGGAAAGTACAAGGATAATTATGTTCCTAACTGACTGATTAAGTCTCTTTTACCAGTCGCCTTCTGTGTAAATTGCATTTCTATCTTGGGAAATTAACTAGGCTACGTGGACCGCACATGTGTTCCAGCACTCTTCATTTGAAACCTTCATGTTAATGCCGATCTGATCCTCGTTTGGCTGTGTGTGTGTGTGTGTGTGTGGAGGTGGGAAAAGAAGGAATATGTTTTGAAATGTGTGTCAGCGTGTGTGTGTGTGTGTGTGTGTTAAAGGAGGTTAGGCGTGGAATGCAAAACTAACTTTGAAGAAACAATTTCCATGTAATCCGTCAGCAGCCCGGCGTCAAACCCGTCGATACTCCGCTAATTACAAAATCAATGGCCATGAATCTCCACAGCTGTCACACCCACCGGACCCCCGCGGCCGCAGCTCCGCAGGACCGTGTTCAAACGAGCCGGAGCTGCCCTCTCACCCCCGGCCTTCCTCTCTCACACTTCTCCTTTACCTTTGCATCCTTGTCTTTCCACCCCTCCCCTCAGCCCCCTCCTCACCCCCCACCTCCTCTTGCCCTCACCTTAGCGTTCCCCCTCCCATCTCTGCCTGATCTCCCACAGAGAGTTTGTCATCAGACGTCTAAAGCTCTGGCCTCAGCATTTTTCATTTTTCAGTCAGGCAGGAGAAAAGACTCCTAACAGGCATTGATTACCGGGGGGACAGGCCGGGCCTCATGAAAAGCAAACTGTCGATACGGGCACAGCATCTTCACATTGGAACAAACGAGGCCCGTCGCTCCCCGACGCTCATTCCACTCCACTTAACACATTTTATTGACAGCCCCTGTTTTCCTAATGAAATGCTAAATATATCTCCCTCCACTGCGGCGTGCTGGCAGCCACTGTTATGGAGATGGAGAGAATGAGAGCGCAATGTGACAGTGTCTCACACACACACACACACACACACACATAGTAAAACAACACTAGGCACACATACTCTCTTTCTCAGAGAGGATGTTAAATGAAACAATGTACTCCTGACCTTTTTGTCCCCCTCTTATCAGACACCCTTCATCATGGCAGTGATCAGGTCAGCAGATATGGACCAGCACTTGACATTTTTTTTGTTTTTATTCCTTTTGTCTGCTTTAATTAAATGCCAGTTCAATTTTCTGATTTCTTTGGTAAAAAGCGGCACAAAAACTGAACGTTTTGTTAAATCCCTTCTAAAGGTTAAAGTTTAACTCAGGGGTAAAATCAAGAACAACGAATAAGCTTAAGGACAACTTAAGCTCTGATCACATATCAAAAAGTTAGCCAAAAATGAATTAACTCATATAGCTACTAGTAGCTAATTTATTTTTAAAATAATGAAATACAAGGTCAGATATACTAAGATGACTTTTTGACGACACCTGATGAAATAAAATAATAAGCAACGATAAGTAAATAAGTAAAAACAAAAAGCGTTCTGTTAGCCACAGAAATACTAGTATTAGCCATGAGGTAATAAACCTTAAAGTCAACCAAAAACAGTGATTAATGTTTAATTTAATAATAAAAAAAAACAGTTTACTTCTCGATGATTTAATTTGTAAAAATTTCTATTTGAATATATTTTTAATCTTATTCTAAAACTCCAGTCGGATCAAGGACCTGACGCTCACCTGAGTTGGCGAGGGCGATGGCTTTGAGCGTGACAAATTCCTCCTTCTCTATGCGTAGCTTCTTGTAGCGTCGCACCAGCGGCAGGATGGCAACGTGCAGGTCCAGCAGGCCCGAGACCCTGGCCTGGTCCTCGTCCACGACGTAGTCCTCGGCGTACACGATCTCGTCCTCGCAGGGCAGCGAGCGGAACACGATGCTCAGCACCAAGATCTCCATCCAGGCGCTCTGCAGTAGACTCATCTGGTCTGCCAGCGAGAGAGTGGAAAAACCTGTGGGATTAAAGGGGATTTGTGTTATTTGTTTTCTCTTTCTGCGAATCGCAGTGGAACCGCAGGACAAGGCGTGAGATCAGTCCCTTAATGCCCCTACACTTAAACTGCTCATTTCAAGGCCCCCGGTTGTTTTATGTGCTCATTCACTGCAGCACAATCCCCGGAGAAGCCCTACTTGAAACAGGGGCCGACCACTTCTAGGTGCCGGCTTAAGTGGGGAATATGAATGAGTCCAGAGCAGAGGCCTTTGAAACCTGAGCCGCGGCTCCTTCAGCCACCAGCCGTCAACACCTCCACACCACACACTGCACAAACACACAGCGGGCGGTGAAGACAAGCGCCCGCCTCAGGCTCACTGTCCATCACCTCAGTAAAAACATTTACAGTGAAGACACAGACAGTACAGTGAAGGCAGCTGGACCGGTATATCGGCATCATTTTATACATTTAAAAACCGACTACAGTAGGAGCTGTGGTTGAGGCAGAGAAAACACCCCGACACAGTCTTTGCTAGTGTGAGTCATTTATATTTTATAAGAATTTTTTTTTTTGGAACATTCCGAAACAACATGGTGTTACTGTTAATCACAGAGGGTGAATTTTTTCATTTTGATAAATTAAAAAAAAAAGTCTCACATTTAAGAAACCTTATTATTCAAAGATTTCTGAAATATATTAGGTGAGTAATGGAAATACATTTTTCCAAAATAATCTAGTGACCATTTTGCAATGCAATGTTTTTTAACATTTTTGGATAAATATGCATTTTCTAACTAGTAAACAGTAACTATTACGGTATATTTGTGTAAATTTACATTTTCCCTGCCTTTTTTGTGACTGCCTACAGTAGTTCAGATAACGTCCTGCTAAATGTTAGCCTTAAATCAATTCAACAAAGTGAAGAAAAATTCTTAAAGAAATCAATGGGTTTTTTTTATCTTCCTTAATGTTTGCCTTAAGAAAAATTCTTAAAGAAATCAATGGTTGATACTTCTCTGATGAATCTAAGGTTTTCAAAGCACTAACTTGGTCAATTCTATACATTAGAAGCCACTGTAACAAAATACTACAAAGATATTCTAATAACATGGACAACAAAACACAGTCCTACTCCATCCTATCACTGGCCTCGGTCCTCGGTCTTGTTTGTTTAACCTGCTGAAGTCCAAGACCCCGTGGTTGACCCATCAACCTTCTACCAACCATTATGGAGTGACAGACACCTGAAAGCCTCTCAACTGCCACATTAGCTTTTACCACTGGGGGTGAATAGGCATGTGATTGGAGGATATTGACCAGGGCCTTGATCCCACCGCTGTCCTTACTCAAATCTGTACTTTTATGGATGGGAATGGAGCAGGTCGACTAAAGAGAGTTCCTCTGCCAGGTTCTTATCAAGCAAATGGAGGAACCATGGAAAGAATGAAAGAATGAGGCAGAGAGAAAAGAGGAGCGGGGGTGTCATTGATTAGTAGATTCTAATCAGTCCACCAAATGCGAAGGGTTGATCGATCGGAGCCTCACATCTGACAAACAGACAGTTGATGGAGGACATCCGCTACATGTTTGAAGGGGGATGGGAGAACGGTGGGACCAGTGAATGGAGATACTTCAGGCTGCGTCAGGAAATCATGACGCTGCTCTTTATTCTTGACAAAGACCAGAAAAGGTTTGAACCGTCCGCCAGCGTTAACGGAGGAATGTAAGAATTTCATCTCAGCGCTAATACAGACAGGACAGACACAGACTGATACTTTGGTGGTAAGAACCGAGTGTCCTGTGGAGCTGTACACCTCCAAACTAAATCAGAGAAACTCTTTATTTGGATATGTTTAACTATTTTCAGATTTGAAAAATAAACACTCTAAATAAAATAATGATTGGATGTTTTCCTTTTCTCTGTTCTGTTGTGTTGCAGACAATTGCATTACTGCCACCTACAGGGCTAGTTGCCTGCTTGCAAACAAAAGATAGAAAAAGATATTACAGGAGAGTGGTGACATACCACTCTACACTACTAGTGGCTTTTAATTATGTTTTTGTTTTGTTTTTTCAAATTTGAAATGAAGCAATCGTTTGGATGTTTTACATATTTTCATCAAGTCTTTGTCATGTTTCCACGTTCAGTCTCTGAAGTACTGAACTGACACCATATCCATCTTCCTCCTCTGGTTCCTCATCAGTCTTCCCTTCTCCCCACCATCCCTACTTTTTTTTTCTTCTTCTCTCTTTTCACTCAATTTACTGAAGCGACACAGTGACTTGCCGGCTCCCCGGGGGTTGCCTCGGCACTTCAGATAGGTTGCCTGGAGGTGGCGGAGTTAAGTGACGCCGTGGAGGGTGATTCCACCTGATCAAATATCAATATTTCACACCGCTGATTCAGTGACGTTTGACCAAACATGACACAATATCGAGCAAATTGGCTGATGTCTGTGGGTCCGCGTCTACGGTTTCTTCCTGTTTTGGTGACAGACACCGTGACAGAGGCGCTGTTCCACTGCTCTGACAGACAATGAAGTGATGAGCAAAATGATTTTGTATTCCACGTCTGCAGACGTCTGGAAAACATGACGTGGAGCCACAAATGTCTTCTACAATAAGAGATTCATTATTATTTTTATTTTAGGAGCATTAACCACTTTTCCGCACATCTGCGCTGCAGATTTGTGTTTTTTCCCTTCACGCCCACGTCAGGATATTAGCACTTGTTGACAGAAAATAATTGCGCTGCGGCTTCATAACAGTATAATACGTGCGGGGAAGAGATAAGTAACCAAATCCTTATTGAGTAAAACAGAGAGAGACAGAGTGGCTGGCAGTGAAGCCTGAAGCTGTCATTGAGAGCCCGCTCTGAAACAGACAGCAGTTCACTCTCTATTCATTTAGTATCATTACAGGCCTCCTAAGAGCCCTAATGGGCCTAATAAAAAGACAGAGGTAATAATGAGACAAGAGGGCCCTATATGAGCAGGAGGAGCAGGAGGAGCAGGAGAGGGAGAGCCAGGGGAGCAGGAGGAAACTGGAGAGTGTGAAAGATATGATATGAGAGAGAGAGAGAGAGAGAGAGAGAGAGAGAAAAGTCAGAGGAATAAAGCTGTGCCATGGACTGAGTGAAGATTGAACTGTACAGGAGAGGAAAACGTCAAATATACAGATACAGGTGTGTATTGTGTGTATTGTGTGTATTGTGTGGTCCCGTTTGATGCAGGTTTCTCTGTGTGGGCTTGTCTATGTGTGTGTGTGTGTGAGGGAACAGCTGCACAAATGAAGGCCACCTCTGACCTCTGCCCCACTGTGATGTGATTCTGTTTCCATTTTTATGACAGTGTGTAACAGCCAATCAAAAGCCGCTGCTTATGAAAACAAATGTCCACATTACAGCGTTCAGTGTCCACCGGTTAAATCATGAGTCATTCTCAGTCATCGTAATTCTTGGTCCAGTTATTAATACTTTAAAGTTGCTTCTGAGATTATGAATTAAATATGATCTGACAAATGTCATATTGACAATTACATTTTTTTTTTTAATCTAACGTCATCCTTTTGGCCATTTACAACTGTGGTGGCTTTAATTTGAATTTATTTAGACTTGATGCTCACATATATATGAGAACTTTAGTTGGCGTTAGATGATTGTTGACCACTAGGTTACCTACCTGTGAGTAAACTGTGAGAACGGCCTCTAATAGTTAAATCAATTCCAGGACGTTGGTCATTTCACAGTGTGAAAAACATAAAACACGTCCCTCTGCTGGTCGTCACATTGAAGGACTTTTACATTAACGGCTGGATCTGCAGTAATGACTCTTATTACCCCATCGTTAGGGCCATTTGCGCCGTAGCCTACGAGAGTAATGGTGGGAGTGGACTGTTAAACTGTAGGGACCCCTTTTGTCTTAATCGTTACTTGGTGACACTGTGAACCAGTGGCCCCGGGTAAAGTGTCCCCTGAGTGTCACAGGCCCCCCTTTAATAACTCTGGAAGGTCTGCGCTCAGATATTCATCGCATAAAAGATCAATAGTTATACATAGAAAATGTAAAAAGGGAGATTGAGGTTTCAAAAATGTGACAGTAAACTGTTCGCAATTATTTCTGCGCCCGCCGGCCGTGACGACGTTGGAGAATTCGATTGTTTTTGCCTGATCTGACCCCAGGTTTACTCTGGGAAAAACTCCGATCTAATGGTTTAAGCTCAGAGATGTTTCTCCAGTGAAGTCATGCTCCTCCACTGCAGCGTTCTGCGGCCGTCCCTGCCAAAGTCATTCCACCGCGGGTTCAGCATTGTTAAAGAGTCAAATGTAAATCTGATGAGGAATCAGAGATTTGAGACGAACACGGAGCAAAAGATCTGTTTATAGACGACAGGGTGGAATGTTTTAAAGCTGATTTATTGTTTGTAAAGGGGGCGCTGTTTTTCTTTAGACTTTAGAAAACACGCGCAACAGGACATTTGTTTTCTAGATTTTATCTGTGAATAGTTTTTTTAATTAAAAATAATTTTTAATAAAAGTATGTTTTTAGAACAAAATTTAAATATTGACTCAAATTTCTATTAGCAATTAAAGAGCTAAAGCTAGACGTTTTTTTTCATTTTATTCTTTATATTTTTTTCTACTGTTACTGTACATTTAACCCTCCTGACTCTGAATAGTCATTGCTGTTTACCTTTAATCAAGGCCCAGTCTTATTGATGCCTGTTTTGTTTTCAGTCTCTGCTTTCTCCAGATGTAACTCTAAACAAAAGTTGACTTTTGCAGGGTTTGAAACAAAGACCTGTGCGTCCTTGTCATCACAGAGCAGTGAGTTCCCATCGCGATGAAAAGAGAGAGAAGATCTGAGAGCATTTGCATAACAAGCCTTATTTAAGAATTTGTCAACAAGGTCCATGGAAATCCATCAGTGTTTCCCTTAAATAAATCAATTTGACCACAGCCTGTGTGCAGCTCCTTAAGTAAGTAAGAGGATTGGTTGCTTTAAGTCTAGGATTGAAATGGAATACATTGACATGGGGGCGGGCCTGCCTGACTCCCCTGCCCCTACAGTCAAATCAAAGGTTTCAGCTGCTCTTTATTGATTAGATTTTAGAATATGGGACCGGCTTCTCCCTTAGGTGCAGATGAGCAGCAGATGTTAATTATCCTGTGTGTGTGTGCACGAGTGTGTGTGGGCGCTAGAGTGGGTGCACTACTTCACTAATCTCACATGGTGCGAGTTCAGCAAATTAAAGCACAAATGTGTGGAGGATCAACAGAAGAGGAGGACGCAGCTCCACTTCAACATTCACACACATTCATCTCAGACATTAACCACACACCAACAGGCAGGAGACGTGGAAGAGAAACGTCCACGTGTCTACGGTGATAACGTAACCCCACCTGGGATATGTTTGGCCCAGCCGATGATGACCACCAGCTCACGGTCAGCCAAGTCACACAGCGTGGTCAGGGCCTTGATGTCTCCGTCAGGCATGGTGGGGTCAGGCATGGCGTAGATCTTCTCTGGCTCCACCACCAGCAGATGGGAAACGATCTTTGTCACTGAGAAAGAGAGAGAGAGAGAGAGAGAGAGAGAGAGGAGGGAGGGAGGGGGCTCATTATAAACATTTTAATTTGGAGCAGATTAGTTGTTTACAGCTCTATTTGTTTAGGCTCCAGAACTAATAAACTATAAATACAGACACAGTTCTGTGCCAAAGATTTACAGTACTAGGCAAATGTGTACATTTACTGTATACTCTCCACTTCCCAGCCTTTTTTTTAAGTATTTAAAAAATATATAGAGAACTAACTCATTCTCAACAACACTGAACATCCACTCTTTCGTAACTAGGTTAATAAATTCAAATGTCATTTTTAGCCCAGTCCCTGAAAGGTGTCGTGGTTGGAGCTGCACGTGTTTTTTTTTTTTTCGTTTTCAGTTGGTACAGTGAACAGTGTAATGATTTGGACTATTAAGGTCACTGTGATGCTGCTAATGGGTTAGGAAAAAAGGGAACAGCATTTAACACAAAGAACACTGTCCTCACACTAATCTATAAAGTCAGCAGTTTGACATGACTAAAAATAGGATTTCAAATATTATTTTATAAATGTAATGGAATTATTCCTTTTGCAAAGTGAAGCAATGCCACCTTTTTATGTAACGGAACGGAGCCTTGTGCACACCTGCACATTATCACTGGAACTGTAAATGATGTCAAAGTGCTGAAAAAAATATGTTTGAAGAGAAAAAGTAATGTCTCTATTACAAAAAAAAAATAAAGCCAAGTGGGTT